TCTGTTTTGGATAAAAATATAACATCCGTAACATTATCACCCAAATTAAGTTTACAACTAGGTTATGAACCAAATAAAAATCTCCTAGAGAGAAATTTTGGAAAGTGTCTCGTCTCATCTCAACTATTTCTATATTGCGACATTATCGATCCTCAGATTGTGGGTGATGTTATGACTCCTTTACTAAGATTCATTTCATTAGATCCTACTAAATACATCTATGGTGCAAATAAAATACACGTTTTCTCTCAACCTCACTACTTACCTGTTATGCGAAGAGAGTTCGATACGCTGAAAATAGTTATAAGATCGAGCACAGGACAAAAAATACCATTCCAGTTTGGGACCGTGTGTATTAAACTACATTTCCGTAAATTACAATAATGAATTCTCTTCGTGATCATCATAATGTCCATATGAAAATTATTATACACATCAAGCTGGCTCAGGAGTTGGAGTAATTTATAAGGGTTCACCATACCAACGCGGTCATGGTATTGGGAGCTTCTTAGGGGGGTTATTTAGATCAGTTTTACCTTTACTTTCAAGTGGTGCTCGAGTGATTGGTAAGGAAGCATTAAGCGCTGGAGTAGGACTTTTATCGGATATGGTTCAAGCGCGTCCTATGGAAGCCTCAATAAAAAATCGTTTAAAGCAAGTTAGTACGAATTTAAAACGGAAGGCTGATGAGAAAATTGATCAATTTAACATGACAGGATCTGGGTATAAAACTAAAAGAAAACGATTGACCTCGTTCATTCCACCATTAACTGCTAAAGTGAAAGCCGCGAAAAAACTTAGTCTAAAACCAAAAAATATAAAAGATATATTTTCAAATTAAATATGTCTTTCCTTCATAATCATTCTTGCGAGTGCATTAAGGCGGAATTGGATTTGTTTGCACTACCGTCTACACAAACTAGCATTGAAAATGGATACATTATAAACCAATATCATCTCTTGGTGATGATGGACCTATCGAGTTTCAAGTTCCTGGGACAGGCGATGACTACATAGATTTGTCTCATACATTACTCCACATAAAGGCAAAAGTATTAAATCTAGATTCAACTAACTTGATATCTACTACAATAGTAGCACCTGTAAATAATTGGCTGCATTCATTTTTTAGTCAACTTGATGTTTATTTAAACCAAAAACTTGTATCACCACCTAATAATACCTATGCATATCGAGCATACATGGAAACCTTTTTAAACTATGCTACCGCTGCTAAACAATCTCATCTTACTTGTAGTCTTTGGTCGATCAAGCGAGAGTTTTAATTTAATTGCTGGGTCAAACGATGTAAAATTTAAAGTTTGCGTTACGGACGCAAATCTTATTGTTCGATGAGCACGAATTAATCCAAGTGTATTACCCACACATCAAAAAATTTTAACTTCTACCACTGCTAAATATCCTATTACTCGAGCTGAAGTAAATGTTTTAACAATTCCATCGGGTGTTCAAGGAAAAACTCTTGATAATATATTTTTAGGACAGGTACCCAAAAGATGTATAATTAGATTTGTGATCAATTCTGCATTTAATGGTTCCCTTACTAAAAATCCATTTAACTTTGAAAACTATGGTATTAATTCTTTCAGCTTATATATTGATGGTCAACAAATACCTTCAAAAGCTTTGCAACCATCTTTTAATAATAGTATATTTACATCAGCATATCATACTCTATTCTCGGGAACTGGTATTCACTTTCTTAATGAAGGAAATGGAATCTCTTGTGAACAGTATGCCAAAGGTTACTGTCTATTAGCATTTGACTTAACTCCTGATTTATCAGCCAACTCATCAGCTCATTTGAATCTCATAAAGCATGGTAGTGTAAGATTAGAAGTACGATTTGAATCCACACTAATACAAACAATTAACTGTATAGTTTATGCTATATAAATGTTACTGTAAACTATAGTAGTTAAGGTTATATATGTGTTGTGTGTTAGATTTTATGTGTTATGTGTAATGCATTTTGTGTGTATGTAACTATGTGAAACGTTATAAAATTAAATAAAACAAATTGTATGCAATATATTATTTTTTATTTCTTTATAAATCTTCTATTTAATCTAATACAAAACATTGTTCGAGTATAAAGTTACATCGGACTCTCTCATTAGATGTCTCTCTCAGTTGATGCTGAATCTTTGTTTGAGGAGAATTGATCCATTAAAAGTAAAGAAAATGATGAAAATCCATTTTACACACCAGCTCAAATACTCAGTTTAATACCAAAAATTTATATTTAGTTATTCGAACATAAACACCCACATTGAAATTTGGTTTAGGATTTTCTAAAGAAAGTTTGTTTGACCGTCTATCATAAAGATTAGTCCAAACTGTCATAATATTGTTGGAATTTACATCTCTTTGTCCTTTACCCTGACGAAATAAATTTTGAGTTAAATAAAATACACTAAGATTCCTGTGATGACTACCTTTTGTAAATATATCCACAATTCTTCCATCGGACTCTATTATTAAATCATCAACAATAACAAGATGTGGGTTTTCACCATCAAACATATTAAGATTTGGAATTCCTCGATGATAATTAACATTTGGTAAATTATATAAAAGTTGCATACATTTCACAAAGTACCATGTGATCTGATTAAAATCACAATTACATATTTCCGTAACTGATTTTATGAAATTTGTTACAAAATTTGACTTCCCACATCCACTTGGTCCTGCCACAATAGCAGTAAACGGCTGTAAAAAGTGAAACATTACACACGTCTAAAGTTTTAAGGGGTGTAATAAAAAATGAAAGTGTTGGTGTAGGTAAACAATTAATATATATTGTGTACTATAACTAATGTTTTGGGAAATGAAACATAATTTATGATTAATTTAAAATTTTATTTTCAAGCAATAACCACTTGTAAAAAACCCACTTTGCATCCAAGAACAATGTAAAATTTTGTGATTATTTTTTGCAAATATATGACTATTACACACATAACGTTTGTTTAAATTTATGACATTTACCAAATCATTGTATTTTAGACATGTGTATTCTTCAATATTAAAAATTCTATCATTCGTCGTCAACATTTTTTAAAATTGTTTTTCTGCTGAACCACCTTTGTATGCGATCACTTCGTCTTTGCACAAATTTCTAATGTACCAATTTAATATGGGAATGATGTTCTCTTGTTTGTAGGCACATTTTAATTCTTCGGTCACGTCAAAATATGGAATGACGTGCACGTGTGTTTCGCAATAACGAACAGTTTTTTTTTGTCTTTTGGCAACAAATAATTGAAAGGATAACTTGGCCGAAACAAATAATGATCGATAAATGCATAACTTTTATTAGATAGTTTTACGTCTAGAATAGCCATTTCTCTACATTGAAAATGTTTATGAGGATATGTAATGTAAAATTCGTCCATGTCGATGATGTATCTAATATTTTTTAGATTTTGTGTCATTTTGAACCAAAAAGTTAAAATTCACATCACATTCTGTTGCTTATCTCAACATTCCTTCGTGTTGCGTCTTGTTCAGTGTAACGATGACTCAAATACGATTTATATAACACAAAAGAATGCAACTTAATATTTATAAATCACTATAATTGATCATTCCTATGTTATTCATTGAGTAGATTTGTACTGTAGTAATTTACTAATAGCAGTAATATCATGGATACACTAGATGTACAACAACATCTGAAAAAGATTCACCCTAGTCTAGAAAATAATGTTTATGCTGCTAATGTAATTAGTGTAATTGGTCTATACCACCGGTTATTTTTATAGTATGCTTGTCATAGTAATTAAGGGATTTTTGGCCTTATTATAAGAATACTATTGTTTAATGTAAACTTTTGAAGCTGTTGGTTTCTTTTTTACTGCCCATGTATACCCACGTACCAACGTATATAATATGCAATTTGGATACAGATGATAAACCAGGGTCACATTGGGTAGCTTTATATATCGCTACGAATGACGTCGGTCAATATTTTGATTCATATGGACGATCACCTGTACGATATCATCTAGAGTTTTTAAAAAGGAATTGTAAAAGATGGAACTGGAATGTTGATAGGATTCAGAATGAGTGGACTTCAGTTTGTGGCGAATATTGCTTAATGTATTTGCTATATAAGTTTCAGGGATGTTCAATGCATAGTTTTACGAGTATATTTACAGGGAACACAATGATGTTTTAGTGGATGAGATGTTTCGCTCCTATTTTATAGACAATAAGTAATAAGATTTTGTATTTTGTAAATAAAAATTGTAACAAAATTAGGTAATGTGTTTTATTGATGATTCAGATTAGCGTTGTAGATAGGAACAAAGAATTATAATACAATAGCACTGATAAGCCGACGCATACGCCGAGGAAAATAGACAATGACGGTATTCAATGAACAATAGATAAATAGATAAGAACAATGGGGCGCTAATGACGGTGGAGGCCCTCACCGGATATCAATTAGATAAGAGTTCATTGATCTGCACATCTCCGGAACCGTGCATCTTACGCAAAAACGGACCGCAGATTCATGCATGCCAAAACCTATTTTTTTGTTGTACGTTGTACCACTTCTGACTCAGTGAGCCAGAAGTGATACTACCTATCTACTGTTAATAAAGATATGAATATAAGATCGCAGGTACACATATGTACATGCAAAGTACGAATTGAAAACTACACATACATTTTTCGCAGCATACACATGCAGGCAGTAAAACGTCCTACTGCTGGGCACAGGTCTTCTCTTATTTCCGAATGTGTTTTAAGACAAATAAATATTCACTGCACTGCCCCAATGCGGAGTTGTGGTGTTGCCTGAGTAGTGGTGGACTTCACACGTCTTACAATTGCAATTAACAATTTTATTGATGCCTCTCTCGTATTTCTTGACGCCCACGGCTTGAAAGTAGTTGTAGCTCAGGGGACAGTAGTACGCATGTAATCTCTGTCGGCAGCAATGAAATACTATACAGTACGGTTACCTTTAAATACCAATCCGTTCCCAGCTTCAATTTCCTTGAGTAAATTTTCGTCCAACTGCATTAATCTCAAGTTATCATTCCTACCACTAGCATCTGGGAACATCAAAACTTGTGTAATATCAGTTAATTCGGATTCATGCAACTTGGCGATTTTTATAACTTTCCTGACATCCTCTGGCGTTCTTTGGTTGCTGGAAATACAACATTTTTAAAGGTTAGGAGCTCCATATAGTTACGAGACATAAATACAGGGGTCTAGGCTCCGAATATATTTTTGTCCCTTTCGGTTGAGACCCTTGGTTCGTGGGGTCCTAGCGCTTAAGCCTTTTTAAGTAGATATTGTTGGGTAATTACCTCTTTTTTTTTTTTTATTTTATTTTTAAGGTTTTTGTATTAGAATTAGTTTATTTTTTTAGTATTATTTTTGTTTCTTTTCTTACGAGATAGTTAAAAGTTCATTTGCTATCACAATCACATGGTGTGAGAGGGACAGACTTGATAGATGATAGTGAGGTATGTAGCTATACATGCATATGTATGTAATTACCCTAAGGATGTAAAGCGGTGGCACCATGATAACAACAGTAATTATATTAACAAAGTATGTTTTGTATCTATTTAATTTATTTTAATTAACCAGCTCATAAACCAACACAGACCACCGGCGGATTGGAGGGGAGTAACCATAAGCAGACTTACCCTTCTGTCAAAGTATAAGTCCACGCGGTCCAACACTTACAGCAATGACCTATATGTTGTGCACGGATGTGTGCGAAGTAATTTTTACTAACTTTAACAAATTACGTAAAACTAAATTATATTACATTATAGATATTAGATGCGTTTCGTTTTTTTTTTTTAGGTTTTTAGAGACATTAAATCAGGTGGACTACCAAAATCAACGAAAACGAAAAGAAAAAAGCTTGAGTGTTATTAACAAATATGACGATTATAGGAAAAGCGCTCTTCGAAATGTGGTGCACCAATTTTTTTTAAATGACATACACCTACTCGTACATTCCTAAACATCATAAAGGAAGATTCTGATTTCCTGTCTATGTCAAGATCGACATTGTACAAAACACTAAAAAATTTGGGTTTTCCCTATAATAAAAGAGGTAGAAACAGAAGAAAGTAGAACGTAGAAAACAGTAGAAAGTCCGGATATAGTTTTATGGCGACGAAAATATTTAGACGAATTAAAAGCAGCCAGACAAAACGGAACTACTATTTATTATTTAAATGAGACGTGGGTAAAATACCGGTCATACGAAATCAAAAGTCTGGGTTGACAATACAGTTACTACATCGAGATTTGCGTTCGTGGATGGACTATCAACAGGATTAAAAAATTCGTCAGGTAATATATTGTGTTTAATTTAGTATTTTCTTTTTTTAATTTTAAATAAATAAATCTGCACATATCCTATAGAGAAATACACGTTATTTCACTGAGATGCTTATAATTTTTATTGCAGGAAAAAGCAAGCGGCTTATGATTGTCAATATCGGCAGTATGAAAGGATTTGTAGAAGGATTGAAATATTTTAAATCTAATAAAACCGGTGACCACGAAACCAATATATGGACGCCATAGTGTTGAAGATTGGTTTCAAGACGTTTTACCTAAATTGGATGAGAATGCAGTAATCGTTTTAGATAATGTATCGTATCATTCTCGAAAACTTGACAAAGCACCTACAACTTTATTTCGCAAACAAGACATTATTGAATAGCTACGGTCGAAAAATATTGCTTGTGATAAATCAATGTTAAAGTTGCTACTTTTGGATTTAGTTAAATAAAACAAAGATCGCTTTAAAAATTTGTCGTAGACGAAATGGAAAAGTCCACACACAAATCGTCGTGTCATATCACCGCTATCATATCATCGTCGTGTCATGTCGTTTACCGCCGTATCACTGTAAGCTCAACCCAATTGAGCTTGTTTAGGCTCAAGTGAATGGCTACGTGACAGCAAATAAGTTATAAAATTGAAGAAGTTTCAACTCTTTTTTATCGCGTTTAAACGCGATTAAATCCGTAAATAGAGTTTTATTCAATGTGTAATGTTCGCGTAAAAGTTATCGAACTCTTTTGTTACAAGGAGCAGCTAAGTGGATAGGCAAAAATGGTCATGTGTCAATCATGTGATAACCAAAATCGAAACAAAAATATACGTGGTAGCGCCACGCTGCAGCTATATTATGGTTGTAGCACAAATGGGTCGGCTGTACCGGGGAAGGACCATACTCTTAAAGAATACCAGCGTAAAATAGCAGCTTAATGCTGCTGTGTTTCGTGTGGTGAGTGTAGAGAACCGGAGATCCGTTTTACTGGAATCGAGGCATTCCATCTTAGGCCTTAAGGATGACAACGCATCTGCATTTTGATTCTTAATCGAGGTTAAATGGGTGGACTGTGTGCTCGTTGTTAACCCTATCCTATAAAATAAAAAAATACTATGGACGCTACTAGTTCTCGATTGCCTCATTGACCCAGTAGTCATAAGTGTGGCTGCTAATCAATAGGGTGGGGCCAAAAATTAAATTATTTGGGTTTCTGTCCAGAAATTTTTAGCAACAGCAGCCAGGTTTTGAAGAGAAAACTTATTTAGCATTGTTGTGATTTGAATGTCTGTGAAACGCAAAAACGACAGTAAAAAGAAACATAGACATAATTTCATACGATTTAATGTGGGAGAAAATGAGATAGGAAGCATTATAGATTACAGCTCAATGCTCGCGAGAAAAAAGTAGTAAACGCCGCCGAAACGGCGTCGCTTACGCGTTTTGTTCAACAAGGCACGAGGGTGTCGTGTGCCTATTAAACAAGCAGTGAGGAACGGCCAAACCTCAACTTCGTAATAGGTAAAATTGATATAAATCTTTTTGTAATAAGTGAGTACTATATAAGGTACATCGAAAAGAGTAATATAATATCGGTGTCTAATATATATATTAAAAGGATTGTTACATTTATTTACTATAAAATTAAATTTTCTTATATTTTATGCCGAACTTGTAGTTTAAATTATAATATTAAATAAACCATTTAAAGTATTTGTATTTTATATTTCATTTCATTTGAAGGTTTCACTTCTGTCGCGTGTGAGCTGCACGTATGTTTTTTTTTTCAGTGTCAGTTTCGGGCAGTTGCCGTTGTTTCGCCCCGTACCTTGGATTAGACATGCAGCCGTTGGTCCTGCTCCTGATCTTTTTCCGGTCGCATCGGATTACCGTCCCATTGGACTATGGATGTGAGGGAATTGAGATTGCACCTGTGCATTTATAATCGTGTACTTATAATCCTATTCGACGAAAATTTGGTCTGTAGGGATATTTTAATTACTATAGACTATGACTGCGGTTTAATATATTATGAATCTATTTATAGTTAATTAAATTAATTAAATATAAAAACTTTAGAAAAGGTTGAGTTTTAATTAATTAATTATAACAACTTAAAAAGGTTAGAATTTCTATTGTATGGCATATTTGATGATATCAAATACTTTTCAAAATGTTTAAGTCTTATTAAATGAATTTTTGCGCTAGTCCGTCCCCACTTCCCAAGAGGATGTTGATAATGTAGTGGGCAATTTTGTACGGTTGACAATGCCTACATAATATGTCGTAGACAGAGAAACCTATAGACCAATTGACGCCTTCTTTCGCATTCGTACACGAAAGAGATAGATTTATGCATACGTCTTGCATAGAAATGAGACAGCGGTGTGAATGTTTGTCCCTTTCTCCGTGCTGGTTTTTTTTTTGTTTAGGTAACTACACTTTGCTAAACAACTTTGGCAGTTCGTAGCGATCTAAGGAGTTTACGAGTTGGTTTAAGTGAGAAAAAAGTGTTTTGTGAGCTTATGATTGGTGAATCTTGTTCAGTTCAGTTCTTGGAACAATTAAATTTTTTATCTAAATATGTTTAAAACTCATAAAGATTATTGTATAAACTAAAACTACGTTATCGTCCTTTCTCATTCGAGGTCACGCTAATCATTAGTCTATAGGTTTCACTGTCTACGTAATATGTATTCACCCAGCTCTATATTATATTATCGAGGACAGTGTATGTACCATGGAGGTTAGAGAGAAGGAGAACGATCGCAACGTGCTAAAGCATAGCCCGCCTGTCCCTGAAAATTTGTAGAATTTATAGCCGCGCTACTGTCGGTAAGTAGTATCAGCGAAGTTAGCTGTTTATGACTACTAGTAGATGAAGTTAGTTGAAAAATGTACAAATTTAATCGCAAACATATAATAAAAATATAATATAATAATATAGTAAAAATTTAATTGAAAATTACCGTGCTCCGTAATTTTTTGTTTTAAGAAAATCAATTACAATAAATCAATAATAATTAATAATTTATATTTGTAATATGTATTTATAACAAAACATATATTATAATTTATTTAGTAATAAATAATGATAATTTCGTTATTTCCTTTTTTTTTCTTTGAATGTATATTAAATGTTGATAGACCATTTCAAACTAGCGCACAACAGCCCGCTTTTATTGAGACAACTTAGCAATCGCAGCGCCTCAGTTATTTTGTCCATCTTTCTAGGACACAATTTTCAACAGCGATCTTTCTCCTCTCTAACCTCCATGGTAAGTAGTCCATGAAGGTTAGAGAACAGGAGAACGATCACTACGTACTAAAGCATAGCCCGCCTGTCCTTGCAAATTGTAGAATGTATAGCGGCGCTGACGTCGGTGAGTAGTGACTGCGAAGTTAGCTGTTTATGAGTACAAGTAGATGAAGTTAGTTGAATAAGTAATGTATAAATTTTTATTTCATTTTTAACGAGAAAATTTTCATGCTCCGTAATTTTGTAATTTATGCCAAAAAGAAACATTAAAAAATGGAGAAATATTTTAATGTACTTGGATGTGCATGTGGTTTAGCATATGATCGGAGAAATAAACTAAAAAATTACTTTTATTCACCGAAACTCGAGCGATCGCAGCGCCTCACTTATGGGGTCCATATTTCTGGACACTATTTTCTACGGTGATCGTTCTCCTGTTCTCTAACCTTCATGATGAAGTTTCATAGTCTAAGGTTGACAAACATGAGATGACAGCTACGTAACCATAGATTTAGTTTATACCTAGTTGAAACCTAGGTTTCTCTGTATTGTATAGGGTTAATCTATGTACGTAACTGACAGCAATTTGACAGTTCTCTTCAAAGACTGACATAAAATTCAATTTTTCGATTCTCGATATTTTCGTCGCTTTCTGCCATAAGCCATAACTTTTAGTTTACCTTTTGCCGATTAGTATACAAAACAGAAATGTCTATTTTTAGTGATATATTGCCAATTAACAAAAATGAAGAGAAAAAACAGGCTAGTGGTAACCTATCCCCTTACCTAAACTTCGATCCCAATTATATACCAAAAATGCAACCAGAATTCATATATCCTGATGACAGTCATATGGCTTCCACAGCTAGAAGATCAAATGTGGCTCTGCCCATTATTGGAATGTCTTTCATGACTGGTTCAGGTGAGTACAACATGATATAACCTCAATAACTAAAGTTTTACATAACATTTATTTTCTGTTCAAATTCAGATTGTTTAAAACTGTTTTTTAAACATAATTAAATTTAAAGTCTGCTTTCATTTAGTTTACACAGCACTCTCATTAATCAATGTATAAAAATTAATGTTTGTTTGTATACTATGTGCTGCCTTACTGTTTATTGGATTGTGCTAAAACTTTGTCGACTTATTGGTTGCAATACAAAAATGATACAAAGATCATAAATATTGATTGGTATATGAATTCTTTAAAGTTCATACTATATATTTTCCACAGCTGGGTACAGGGCCCTGAATGTTGACAGATTTCACATATCTTTGAAAACTTTTTAAATTTCTTAGATATGTTTACAGCACAATGTATTCCTACCTCACCAATCACATGGTAAATCAGTGCTTAAAAATGCAATTGGCAGGGGACTAATATAAGTAACTTGCATACTGTGATATTAAAAATATTACAAAGAGAGCTTAGGCCCTGAGCTACCATGGCTTCATGAATTATTTAATTTTATTGAAATTGTACTAGTAAAAAAGGAAACTAAACAAGCAAGCTCAAAATCTACTTGAATGTTATTACCAGTATGAATAATATGGATAATTGGACATAGTAACACCAAAAAGATGTTCTTACAAGATATTAGTGCTTGTATTTTTGTTTGGTATGCATTGATAATTACTTGCTTTGATTACTTTCTTTGATGACTTTTTTTTACTATATGGAAGTCTTGACCCTCAGGATTGTTATGGCATATTTAACTTATTTTTGACCTGAGCGTGGGTAGAATTATCTAGTTTTTATTACACTCTATCAGATAGAACCATAGAGCATTAAAGATATGTTGTTTTGAATATTTTGTAAATAGCATATTGTATTCTCGTAATTGTAGAAATACTCCATACATATACTTAAAAATCATGTTCTATTAATTTTCTTAAAATACAAGAAGAAATACAAACATATTATCAATTTAAAAAAAATACAGAAACTAGGTGTGTAACATAATCTAAATGTTCCAGCATTGGGTGGAATGGCTGGTTTATATAGAGGATTAAGAGCAACAACCCTTGCGGGACAGACTGGCAAAGTACGAAGGACACAAGTAGTCAACTATATTATGAAACAAGGTAAATTTTTATATTAATTCAATCACTTTTAATTTATCTTCAAAAGTTTGAAACATTCTGAAGCACACAGTTTCGCTAAACTGTTAAATATGTATAATGTAATTTTTTCATACTTCTTCTTAAGTGCTGAAGTGCAGGGTGCCAGCTTAAATTTTATAAAATTCATTCCCTCAGAAGTAGTACAGATATTATAACCTGCATCCATTAAAAAAGATCATCTCGCCCCTAATCAATTCAATTTTTTTTCAATTCAATCAATTGTATGAAGAATTATCCCTTAGTTCAGACACGGCGAATACCGCGCGGACGCAAACCGCGCGGGTCAACCGCGCGGATCTTATTATAATGGCATAGTACTAGAACGTTCATACTACACCGCGCGGACCATGCAACCGCGCGGTAGCCGCAACTCGACCGCAAGAAAATGAATTCGCGCGTTCGCCGCGCGGACGTAATTCTATGACAATCCCTGGGCGTGTTCAGTTGCTCCGTGGAATCCGCGCGTATCGCACGTATGACAATGGAGCGCTTTGACACCGAACTATTCATTGACGAAGTTGAAAAAAGACCAGCAATATGGGACATCCAGTGTGAAGATTATTCTAATAAAATTGCCAAAAATAAGGCTTGGCAGGACCTGGTAGAGATTTTTGGTATAAACGAGGATTCATTGGAAAAGAAAAAACTTTTTGGTTAGTAGGTACTTTATTTAAACATTTCTCCTAGTAGTTACTTTACATTGTTTGTGATTGTGTTTACATAATATAGATACCTACCAATGTAATATACATATTTATAAGTTTATATTTTAGTATCTTGCCATTCTACACGACCCTCATTCACAAAGTAATTAGCATATCTATCTCTAATGTTCAAAGATGAAGGTGTACCTCTTCCTGCATGTAATTTATTAAGACTACTCATTGGCGCAGTGTACAAAGTGTCTTTATACCGTACACCATCTCTTGTCCTAACAAAATTGTGTAACACGCAACATGCCTTTATTATGTCTTCGGCAAAGTCTATGTTAACGTTTATAGGCCTATGAAAAATACGCCACTTGTTTGCTAAAATACCAAAGCTGCATTCAATATTACGTCGAGCCCTAGATAACCTATAGTTAAAAATCCTTTTTTCGTATGATAACCCTTTACCCGCATAGGGTCGCATTAAGTTTTCCGATAAACCAAACGCTTCATCGCCAACTATAACGTATGGTAATGGTAAAGGATCTGCGTTAGATATTGGTTTAGGTTTTGGTATGTGTAATGATTTTTCTATTAATCTTTTATAAAATATTGAATTTTTAAATATTGCAGAATCACTACTTTTTCCATATGATCCAATGTCAACAAAAGTAAAACAGTAATTAAGCGTCACAAAGTGCCAAAAGTACTATAAAAAAATAGTTTTTATAATTATAATATAAAGATCCAGAATCATCAGGCATTATAACCCTTATATGTTTGCCATCTATGGCGCCTATGCAATTGGGGAAATTTGCATATCTTTCAAAATCTATAGCTATTCTCTCCCACACATCTTCACTCGGTTCGGGCATGACTTTTTTTGCGAGTATTTTCCACAAAGCTTTACATACTTCACGGACAATTCCTGTGGTTGTAGATTTGCCAAGACGAAAGTTGTAACGAAGTTCTCCAAAGGAACAACCAATAGCCAGATATCTGAAACAAAAAAAAATACCAGCACATATTATGAAAACCTTAACATTTTTCTTAACGATAAATTTCTTATTCAGGTGTAACATTGCAAAAAAAATGGAAGAACATACGTGATGCCTACAACAAGGAATTCAAAAAAGGCAAGTCAGCTCCTTCTGGTTCAGGTGCATGTAAAGGTTCAAAATACATGTATTTTGACCGGCTTTCCTTTCTTCAGAAGACTGTAGAAAATAAAGAAACAACTAGTAACATAGAAGAAGCGAAAAATGAGCATAATGAAGACAGTGACAAAGACCAAAATAATTTTGTGAATGCACGTGAAATACGCTCCCCTCCCCCCAAAAAAAGAAAAAAAAGTAAAAGTGCACCAGAAGATCGATTGGCTAACATATTAGAGGAGAGCATTCAGTCACGAGATAAATTACAAAGAGAATTACAAGAAAATATTTCTAACCAAGATGATGATAAGCTTTTTTGTTTATCTTTGTACAAAGAATTAAAAAAAGTTCCAGAAAACAAGCGTTTGGCTACTAAAATTGAATTACTTCAAGTAATAGAGAAGGGACAGAAATTACCATTGCCATTTCGCATTACAACAAACCAGCAAAACATGCATAATACAGCATATTTAAATAGCCAACCATATTCAAATCCACAAGGATATTTTACTGGATACTCTACAATTGTACCAGCGGGATCTCCATCGCCTTCATCATACACTACTGATGACTCACAGTCTTCTATTGTAGAAAATATATATTCTGATATTATGTGAAAATAAATACCCAATATATATTCTAATATAACATAAATATAAATATATATTCTTATATTACATAAATATATATTCTGATAATTATTAAATAAAAATAAATACCTTACCTTAAAGTGATCACGAGTTTTTCTTCTGGTGATACGCTTGACCTCATATGGGTATTAGAAGATGTAATTTGTTCACTGATTATTTCCAATAATTCGTCAAATGACTTTATTGACATTCTTAAATAGTTAAAAAATTCGGAATCATAATTCCTTAACTTTGCATATAAAGACACAAACTGACCATGAGTGAACCGATCTTGTAAAATTGGATGCACCCAATACTGCCGTTTCCTTTTTTTTTTGTGGAGTAGGAGTAAGTACACACATATTGCCTCTTCAACTTCCATGATTGAACTGAAAGGCTGTCACCCTACCTCGCAGTCCTCGCACCGCACAATAACCGCGCTTGTCTGAACACTTCACTATTCTCGCGGATCGGACCCGCGCGGTTTGCGTCCGCACGGTTTCCGCCGAGTCTGAACGTGCTCTATAATGTGCTTCATGCACAATAATCATTATGCATGCTAGATGTTACTGGTCTGTCTGTTTTGCGCCAGATAAAAATACTTCCGGTATGGTATTGGCTTAAGAAACTTTTTCACCACTGTTTAAAAGAAGCTACTTCCGATAGATGGCAGTATAGGAGACTAGGAACATGCAGCAATATCAAAGGATCGAAATATTTGCAATCGTCAATCTGCCTTTCAAGCATGACAATTAACGAAAATCCTCTCTACAATGGAAGAGGCCCACATCCAACTGTGGAATTTGATGGGTTGATATAGAAGAAGAAAAATACTAGATGGTTGTATCTCTATATATAGCAGCGGCTACAGGACCTTTCTAAGCTTTTGCCTTACTAACTATTAATGCACAGAAAAAAATTTAATGATAGATTCCACCTGTTTGTGGTGACTGCCAGAATAGCCACTAATTGATAAAAATATTTATTTTAAACTAATTTTTTCTTCAGGTACTACTACAGGTTGCACATTGGGAATCATTGCCTCATTCTACTCATGTATAGCTCTTGGCGTCACCTGGTTACGTGACAAAGAAGACACATCAAACACCTTTATAGCAGCTGCAACAACTGGCATCATATATAAAAGCACAGCTGGCTTACGTTCAATTGGCCTAGGAGCTGCAGTAGGATTAACTCTAGCCGGAGTCTACACGCTAGTCACAGATAATGACAATATATGGAGCAAAGCAAGATATAATAGAATGTGATCGCTCTAACCGCCTGTCATGTTAATGGTGACAATTTAGAGAGGAGTTGTGCCATAATATTATTTGTATATTTAAACTACCTTCATACTGAGACATGAAATTGAATAAGTGTTTAAAAAACTATATTTTAAAAATTATGTACAAAAAAATTTCTATCTTTTCGATTTTCGGATGATTAGGAACAGCCAAAATTTAATCTTAATGTAACACTTCAATTAAATTTCATCATAAAAGAGGCTGTATGCAAGTGATAATGTGGCACATATATCCTATTTTATTACCGTAAGAGTTATGTAAATATATAGACTATTATTTTTAGTTATGTTAATGCAATTGGCACCAAAGGATCTGTAAAGTGTGAAAGACTTACTCATGCCATGTCTAACACACTTATTTAGACTATGTGCCTGTCTTTAAGATTGTTCTGTTGCTGGGTCATATTGTTCCTGAATCGGCACAGAAGAAGCACAATTATCCATAAGCCTCCAAAATAAAAGAAATAATTTGAAAAACTAATCTTTAATTTATTTTCCCAATTTCGAATGAATTTTTTTTTGTCATGTACATTAAACATGACAAAATAATACAATATCATGAACCTTACAATAATGACTGTAAGTAGTTAAACATTTGTGTTGAACATAACATATGTAAGGAACCTACACAGATTACGTATCAAGATAAGTTTGTATTTTAAATATATATATATATATAAAATTTACACATTAGTAATGCATTTACAGACAATAATCATTCAATGCTAAATATTTTATTAGCCTGTTAGCAATAAAATTTATTTAGTTGTGTAATTTTATTTAAAATTAACAATTTTATTGAAAACTCAAAAGTCGTGGGTTAAAATCCGCTATTTGACTACTGTGTAGTGTGTACTACTGTGTAAAGCAGTATAATAACCCATAAGTTTTTAAAATTTACCATGATCTAAATTCATACACAGCAAGTAATTTGGCACCAATTATGTTGATATTTTTTTAGAAGACAAAACATATACACTTATGTGCACTGTAACAAGCAGTTATTTAACTTTATTGCATAGATATTGACCTAGATGGCTGCAACTCTCTTCAATGAAAAAAGATAAGATTATATTGCTAGTATTATTTTTATCATACAAATGATAACACATTATCTAACAGTATATTAAGACGGATGGACTTTTTGCAAACTTTAGGAATGCTGTGTAACATTGAGATTCTACTAAGCACTAACTACAAATCTATATTGTAGGAGCAAACAGGAAATATTTTATAAAATTCTCATTAGGGTTTAGCAGCTGGGTTTAGATCAAATGGTACTCCTTTGTTTTTAATAATATACATGCCTTACTAGGTTTAAATATGAGTATGATTTAATATGATGTAAATCTCCCAAGTGATAGCTTCTCACTTAACTATTCTTAAAAATATTGATACATATTTTATGTAATATCGTTAAATGATGGTTGATGATTACAAACATCAAGCATTATTACAAAAATTCTTTTTAATTTGTACAATAGTTTTAAAGTCAACCTAAAGTTTACTCTGTTAATAATAACTGAAACTTAAACTAATCCTAAGATCAGCATGCAAAAATAAGTACATAACATATGTACATGCTCTATCAGTGCCACCATGACACCCAATATGAAATAAGTTTTCTCATCTTTAATGTAATTAATTTCCGCAAAAAAATACCTGATTCTTTTAATTAATATTAAACTTTTAAAGTAGGCTTAAATTATTTTACAACATATATTATGCTACCAGTCAGTAACTAAGTGCTGTATATTTACATGTGATAAGGGACTATTTAAATAGACAACTATACAAATTACCACTACATAATAATTTTATCTAATAATAAGTTCATCAAAACAAGGGCAGCACATACTTAATAGGAATGTTATTAAACTATATTCATACATGTACCACACGAATTAAAATAATTTCTTGACATTAATTTGTTTCAGTAGTGAACAAAATATGAAAAATACCAATGTTTATATCCACATTAAAGATTATTATTATTATTAAAGATTGTAAAACAGATTTAAAACTGATATTAGTCACAAATGACTTTTGATTATGGCCATTAAAAATTCGAAAAATATCTCAGGTAGCTTTATATTATGCTCAAAATATAAATTATTCTTAAATGCACACAAATATTTATTAGATTGTTCAATGTTATAGGCAACTAAAACTTGAACTTAATCTCAATATAGTCAAATCTTTAGCAAAAATAGGTTAATAAAATAATTGCACTGCCATTTAAGAATCTGATATGTTATATGCATATTAAAGATCTGTCATATCTTAATTGGCTTCTGCAGTCTCCGCTGCAACCTCTGAGCTCTGAGGCGCAGCACTTTGTATGTCACAAAGCTGCATTCAAAATAGACTTCATGTCCTCTGGCAGCACACAGTTCAGATCATCAAGACGTCTTGCTAGCAATGTTCGAGTATTATCAGCAACTGGTGGATTACTTCTTAAAACTTCCCTTAATTTTAACACCATATCTACAATTTCAACTTCTTTTTTACCAATTGACCACTTTTTAAGATCACTCTCAGCTAATGCTTCTAATTGCAAAGCATGCAGCTTATTGGTCAAATTACTATGTCTCTGATGGAACCAAGCACTAAAGTTTGGTGTTCTAAAGAAATTACGATATAAACCATTCCAATCTCCTTTAATGCCTGTTGTTAATTGCGGGCCTGCTTGTTGAAGTGTAGCAAAAAAGTCTTCTGGGTTAAATGGATTAGGTACAGGTGGGGCCCGGAATGGAGAAATATTTTTCTGCAGTGGCATTAAAGAAGCCATGTAACGTTCCAAAGGAATCATAAAACTCTGTGTTAATTCTAACAAATGACGCTTAACCATTGCTGTTTGGACTTCAGATGGACGGTCTGTTCTCATTCCATTATGCAGCTTCTTTATAATTGATTTATCTTTTTCTAAAAATGGTTTGTATTGAGTATATACACCTGGAGCTGTATCTAACAGTTTAATGTTACCAACTTTTCTAAGTTTCGTTTTGACTGATGTTGCATCACCCAGCTTGATAGTGTGAGGCCAGTGTTGTAATGTTTTAGTAAAGAATGGGTTTGTAACACCCAATATTACACAAGGAGGGTTAAATGTTTTTCTTGTAAATTCTTTAAATTCACTATCGTGAATTGTAAAGTATGGTCGGTATTCTGCTGAATATGGCAGTGGCTGGATTAAGTATGTCAATGCCTGAACCAAAGATGAACACTCAGTTGGCGAACTAGCCATCACTACAATAGGCTCAGCAGTTAAAACCAATTCCCATAATAAATGTAAATGAGATATTAAGCTAGAAAGGGCATCAAAAACATTAACATCTTGAATAGATACAAGTATATGAGGCACACTTGTAGAATTAATTTGTTTAGCAATATCAGACCTTGTTACTTTACCAGTCTGATGATTAGGTATGTATGACTGGAAGACTGCACCTAAAACTGGCAATAGAACATTTTGTCCAGCATCTAAAACTGGCCATCTATTAATGTCATGACAAGCAGCTTCTAAGCTGCTCTCGCCATCTTCAAAGTGTTTTGGTGCAATGAGTTGTATCACCTTGTAAAATAAATTTATAAAGGGTAATCGAGTTAGTAATATAATACTTTTCTGGAAGTATCCACGCGGTAAAGAGGGATCCTTGACCTGCCGAAAATATACGAAGCCCCAATAATGTGTGGAATCCGCACGCAAAATTGGAACACTCTCTTCATTGTAATTCAACTGTTGTTGCGACAAAGGTGAGCGCGAGCGTAATCGCACATGAAATTGTGTGTCTCCCATACATCCCGAATTTGAGTCAGGAAATGCCAAGTAACATATATTACATTTTTCTTGGTCCGTTAAATTAACTCCAGGAGGATATACACTTTCCAACGCCTGACCTAGCTCTAGATCAAAAGTGACTACACAAATGCAGTGAAGCCACTCAGTAAATCTACTCCATTTCGCTTGGAACTCCCTTTCTTCAGGAAGAATGTCATCTTCTTCGTAATTTTGTCGTCCACAGGCCATTTTTAAATGTTATGTATTACCACATTTTGTCGAACATCAATATGTCACTAATTATATCAATGTAAATGCACTGTAAACACTATCACTATATTGTTTATTTAAAAACACTCGCATTTTTAAGCCATTATAGAAAAAAAAACAAGGGAGTGGATGCAACAGCACTACTCATACGTTTTACAACAGCTGTTCCTTCAACATGGCTGCGCGCGCCAAAACAAAAGTTGTCCGTTTCCAGAGATTGTAATTTTATAACAAAAAAGTTAAACATCTATTAACTTACCAGTGTGCCATATTTTCGAAATAAAACGTGCACGGTGTACACATATAAACAATAACTTGTAAACTAAACTGTTTAATTTTATTAACTTACTACTTTTACTAATTAACTTTTTTTATATTTATGTTCAGTACAAATAAAATGAGACAATAACGTTCCGATTAACGCAGTCCCAGTTTACTTTAGCTTACCATAATATGATTCTATCAAATCCATATGTATGTAATTATTCTACCTTTATCTAATATAATTATCGGTGGACAGCTGGACGGATGTGTGCTAGAGCGTTCCCGTGGCCCTGCTAATATGCGACGAATGTGGAACACCATGGGGTTTTAGTCGGTGCGAGTCCGACATAACCCATCCTTGTCCCCACGAGGCGGGTATTCGTAGGCATTTCCCCATGTAAAAAAAGGACAATTATTATACTCTTTGGAGTAAAAGGTTTTTGGTGGGAACCAGACCGCAAACGGTTTGCTGTAGGCGTGTGTAACTCTTAACGGAACTGACTCACTGATTCGAATCATTGAAGTGTTTCAAAAGATTGGTTCAGTAACAATGTTTCAAATGCATCATTTGGATCTGGAACATTACTTTGCTCATTTAGTGCGACGCGTCTCGCTCGCGAGGCGACTGAGCCACAAGCGTGAGAGTGGCGGGTGAGCGCGCGAAATAATAACAATCTATACAAGTCAGAAAGAGATAACAAATGAGAAGTGTATAACTCAACACGTACGGATTTTAGCTATAGTTATTCATGCACGTAAAAATGACCACTAAGGCGCTTACGTATCAAATACTATATGGTCGTCTTTTGAATATAATGTTTACATTAACAATTTGTCCTTTTACGTTGATCCGGCACTAACTTGTCAAATTGTTTATGTTCCTTTGCGCCTGTTTACGAAAACATACTGAGTTCTGTTTAGGATTTCTTTGCATAGTGATTATTGTGACTTACTTTCTTCCTTTTCATCATAAATAATACGCCAGCTTGCCATAAATTAAGGACTAGCCGCCAGTCCTAAGTCTGGATAAAATATAAAGGAGGATCGATTTTATATACCTTAATACGGTATATATATATATAACCTTATTACGGTACACAATAAATAACAACAACTAAATATATGATAAAAATAACCTAAGCACTTATATCATTCAGCATTGTTGCCACATAACATTTCACTGAATCAGTCAGTAATAAACGCCCGCGTCGCAACTTAATGTATTCGTAACATTCTGTATTTTATATCTTTTGAGTCGATGATTCAAATGAGCCAAATGAAACATATCAGTGCTTCGGAACATTTCAATGATCGAGATGCAAATGTTCCAATCGCAAAAATGATACACTATGCCCACCTCCAGTTTGCTGCTCTTGTATTAACGTTGAAATTAAATACTACTACTATTTTTACCATGTAGAAAAAAATAGAGTGTAACAGGTGAACGGAGCAGAAGCTTATGTTACTAATATTTTACAAAAATAAAAACAAAATTTTTGAATTAAATAAATAAATTGAAATCTATCGAAATTCAAATAATATCTACCCTACTTTACAAACGGAAATAAAACAATTATTATTATAGTTCAATATCATATACTTGGTATAATTATTAATTTGTCAATCATTATATATTTTAAGTTATAAATGTTACAACCAATTATCATTAATTTGTTTCTGTATTTATGTCAAATTTATTAATTCCTTATGACAAATTTTATATAAAGCAATATTAAAAAAAAATCATTATCGTATAAGAGTTCTCATAATAAATAATAACAATAACATATACATGTACATTACACCAGCATATTCTTAGTGGGTTCATCGTAATTAAAACGGTAAGGGAAACTGACTAGAAAAATGCTATTCTATTATAAAGTATGTATGTCGCTGGCCTAAGAGAGTTTTAATAGTATATGTTACTTGACAGAGTTAAACTTTGACTTTTTTCAGTTACATTATCCCATTTTGTACAGAAATTTGCAAGAATGTATTTAAAAGATGTGAGGAATGAAAGAAAGGAATGTTAAAAAGTGGGAATACGAATGATTGAGTAACTAAGTTTCGTCAATATTGGACTGATCACCCAAATATTTGATGATGCTTAAAAACTAACTTAAACTAGCTTAAACTAGTGGTATTGAATCCGTTAGGAGCGAGAATTATGCATGGAAAGAATAGATATAAAAGAAAAATTGACCTTAATAAATAAGTAATGGAGAGAGACTGGTATAACATAGAGTCCTCGAGCAGGGTACGTTTCCGTGATTGGATGATAAAATCGGGAGTAACGGGTACTAGGGAACAATACCTTCAGTACAAGTGATGGGCATGAGTTTACTCATATTAGTACTGTTAGGGACCAGAGAAGTCTTAAATTTGTTACCCTTAATAATGGTACGTAGAGGTTATATTCTTCATTGGATCACAGCGTGAACTTAGTTTTCTTCCGTGACTGTAGTGTATGTGATTATAAAATGCTAATAAGTTTGTAATAAAATAAGGTTCATAGATCGGAATGACGGTAGTATCATAAATATTGCCTGTTAAAACACAAGTATAAATGTCCACTGTTTCGAGCGCACCGCGTCAGTATCACGAGAGCTGCGGTCGAGAGTGGACGTGTAGTGAAACCTGAGTTTACATGTGCGTGTGTGAACCAGTGAATTCCTGGCTGTTATAAATGGCGACGAGGAAAAAAGATAAGTACCTTTCAGTATAAAAATATAAATGTAAATTAAATCCCTAAAGTACTCGTGGAAAAAAAACTGAATTGTGAATATTAACTTATGGTTTTAAAACCCTTTTCTGATAATAGTAATAATTTGTATAAACTATATGTTAGCATATGACCACGCGTATGGTACGCAAAATTCATTTTCTTTATGTAGCAATGATAGAATAATGACTTATTGGAACATATTAACACGACTTGTATTTAAAAAGATTTTGATGGAAAAATAATCGACTTAACTAATCTATCTTCTCGATTCAAACAAAAGTACAATATCGTTAGCTAAATTTTATTTATTTATTTTATTTTATTCTTTATTGCACCAAAGATTTTGTACAAAAGGCGAGCTTAATGCTATATGGCATTCTCTACCAGCTAACCTTGGGTAGAACAGAGAGTGAGTTATGGGCAGTAAAGTTGTCATGATCACATTCAATTCAAAAATGTACCATGCTACACATACATAAAATATATATATACACATATATATAATATACACTTACACATATAAATAATATAACTAATGCACATATCGCACCTTTAGGACGAAAACGACACAATTCAAAAAAAAACGAAAATAAAGTTATCGTCATATGACTCAAAACGAAATTCTCAATCTAACAATAGTTCAAACAAAGCCATATTCGAGCGGGAACAGGACAATACTGTTATATCGGTCTCTTTCTTACGCGGCGACATGTGGGCCTGAGTTGGGGGGAAACGACGTAGTCAGTGTTGTGTTCGCATCGCTAAGTGCAGGACGTCGCGCAGACAGCCAGATAGTGACCCAAAGCCTATTACGTCGCTTTCATTCCGAAACTATTGGTAAGTTCTCTTTCGATTTTTAGTATGGAAACTACCAATTTAGCCGTGCGATTGTTTTCTTCCGATTTCTATGGTAATATTAGTGACTTAATCGGGTTAGTGGCATTTTATTATTAAAGACACATAGAATTCCAATGATGGATTTAAGTTTGTGTCGTGTTAATAATAAATAACGATGAATGTTTTGGAACTAAATTTGACTTATTAGAAATAAAGTCGTTTTTTTATTTATCATAGTATTATTTTTTGTGACTCATTGATTATTATGCCATTTATTTATTTATTTCCAGATTGAAATTGCATTGTTTAATGTGTCGCTACACAAATACGGAGCCAGCAAGTTTTTAAAGAAAAGTTACTTAAAAATATAAAAAAATGAAAAAGAGGACGGACATTATAATGGATAATGCATTAAAAAATGTTAAAAATTACAAAGCAAATGAACGAAACGAGGTATGAACTACATTCTTTAATACATTTTATACTGTGCACTTTTTATTGTGAATTTCATATTGTTTTTTTTAACCATTGCGGTGTTTATCTTTCGTCAGGATCAGGCAGACAACAAATTGAAAGAGCATTTGGCTCTGAATTCCACAGAGATTGACAATTTACTTTTATTAAAAGAAATGCCTGACATTAACAATTTTCTTATTAACATCAATCAGATTGACTTGGTAAGAACAGTTTGACGTTGAAAGTGCCTATAATCCGTTACAATAAGTGTAAGTGTTACCACTGATGTGCTGCAGTTGACCGTACCTACTTTAGTCTAACTTCTCACATATTTAGCTATAGTTAAAGTGTGTGTAAGCTTATACTGATATTTTTATTAACATTTTATCTTCCGCCAGGAATCGGCTGATAGAATGAAAAACCGAAAAGAGAACATGAATCCGAATTCTGCAGTTACTGAAGAATTACTAATTAAAATGACAAACAGCGGCAATATTGCTGTCAATTATGAGAGTAAACTTGTAACGTTGCACGTACATGTATGCATAATTATAATTAAACGGTTTATTAAAATTAAATAATCATTTAATAAACTAAATAGAAATAAAATAAAAGCTATTAACAAAAATAATTCTATAATTAACTTAGGTATCCTATTAATAAAACAAATTAGTAAACTAAAAGAACGAATTAAATAATAAATCAAATATTAAAATATTGTATTTCGAACAAACACTCTGACGCTTCGTTACTCTATGCGCTTTGCAACTCTCGCGTCAGAGTTTTACCCGACCGGTATCATTCCACGGCGTCGCGCTCCCGGTCATTCTCCGCCCGAGCGCCCTGGGAGGCGCACACTACCACTGCAGCCGCGTTCACAAGCTCTGCTTTGTGTCCTCGTACGCGCTTGCAAATTTTAATCCCATTTTGGAAAAAGTTTAAAATAATATAATAATTCCGGCAGTGTGGCCGTATAGTTTTTTCGTTAATTCTCGTCACCGAGACCTCCGTATCGTCTTGCACCCCGTAAGGGTAAGTGTTGAAACGTTACCTAGTTTTAAGTAGTGAAAGTGTTTTATAGGTAGTGTAATTTGATCATGCCAGGCTGTTTGCTTTTAGCTATTTAATTGCCACGTTATTAGTGTTATTTGCATGTAAGTAATGTATGTAGCCGCTGTGTGCGTTGGCAAAAGTACCGTTACAAAATGGCGTCTCATACATTTCGCACCGCGATCAAATATCGCAAGTCACCATCATGTTTCAACCAATGCACAGCCTAAATTAGTTATCCTGGTACATTTAAACAGTATTTTACACTTGCCGTAATTTTAATTCATGTGTATTTTAATTTGCGCCTCACCGCTATGACGCTTGCCTTCCATTCCGCCTTGTAACTCCGTTCTGATTATGAACACCCGCCAGCTACTCTCTGTGCTCCCATCTACTGCTAGCCTGCGATATACCGGGGGTTCATAATCGGCGGCATTTTATTACCTGGACCTAAATGTGGACGACGTTGTTTCCAGGGTGCAATTTTACGACTACAACCGTGGCGGTCGTCCTTCTTAAGAGGGCCTAGGCCTCCCCTCGACGCCGCCACCGCCACAGCCAGCTGCCCACGGCGCTCCCCGTGAACAGTCCAACCCACCGGCCCTGCTCGACCACCTCGCGGCCACATAGGGGAGTACCTGACCCTGCCAGTGAAGCCAGACGGGCATTTTTTTTTAAATTATCGGAACCACGCCCACGACCTTTTCTTTTTACCAATATATAATTTTTTTTTATGACTGGTTGTTGCCTTATTTTAAACATCAACCGTCACAATTATATCAATTTTCATTCTAGAAAAACCATCTTATAAACAAAAGAAAACTATACTTTGTTTTATGATTTCAGAAATCTTCAGTGTGCAGTGATACTATAGAGAACTTATCTTCAAAATCCTCATCGTTTGAAAACTCCCCACAGTGTACGACCAACGACATTTTTAAACTCAGCCAATATATAAAAACGGTAAGTGAGAAATGTCTCTAAACCCTGCCTATTATATATAATCTATAATAATAACTGACGTGACGCTTTGGTTCTTTTTTCAGCAGCGGACCGACGCTTCAGATCAGAGTCAATTCTTAATCGAGACATACTCGCCAGGAGACCTATTCAGGAAAAAAGAGTGTCTTCTTCATCTTGTAATAGTTCAAGTTCATCTCGTTCAAGTTTATCAAGCTCCAGCTCCTCAAGTTCCAGCTCCTCAAATTCTAGTCCATGTTCTTCGAGCAACGCACAAAATGTGAACTCTAACGTGATTACCTGTCATATTAATGCGGATGGTGCGAGTACCAGCCAATTAGCTACAAGAAGTCTTAGTGGTAGAGCTATTTTAAAATCTATATTTATACCTATTAATGCTCCTGAAAGTGATCCTGTTTTAAGTGATAATGACCCTACATTTCAAGACCCCAACGAAATTTCAACGCGTCTTAGAAGCTTGTCCTCTTCCTCGACAGACTCAACTTCACAACCTGAAACACCCCAACATGAGATACAACAACCCGAGACAAGTAACGCAAACGAACCGAACACGACTCAAAGAAAATCAAGAAAAAGGCTGCGTAACCCCGCATCATGGAAGCAAAATGCGCAACACTGGAAAATCTTACATTTCCCTATCGAAATCTAGAAAAGAAGTTCCAGCCCGTTGTATAAAAAACCCATGCGCTCCATGTCGATTAAAATGTCCTAACCAAATTAATGAAGCCCAAAGATCTGAGATTTTTGAATCGTATTGGAACCTTGCAAGCATGGAGCTTAAAAGATCCTTTATCAGTTTTTGCATGATGGAAGTCAGGCCTAAATATAAATACACCAATGCTGAAAAGACGAGAGCACCAAATAGTGCGTTTTACTTCACTGTTAATAATCAGAAAATTCGAGTTTGCAAAACGTTTTTTATAAACACTTTAGATATAACAGAAAGACAGATAAGAACTACAAAAGAAAAAACCAATGAAAACTGATTCATAGCTGAAGATCGCAGAGGAAAACACACTAATAGAAAGACAATTGACGATACCATTATAAAAGACATTGAAAACCATATAAATTCAATCCCAAGGGTAGAATCACACTACTTAAGGGCTTCCACATCTAGAGAGTTCATTGAAGGAGGCAGGACCGTAAAAGATCTTTGGAGAGACTTCTCAGAAGCAAGAGATCCAAATAAACCCAAAGTAGACTACTGGCTTTACAATCAAATTTTTAATAACAAATTTAACTTGGGATTCTTTCAGCCTAAAAAAGATAGATGAGATCTGTGTTTGGAGTATGAAATGGCATCTGTAGATCACAAAGCAAAGCTGAAAGTAAAATTCGATACCCATTTAAAAGAGAAAGACCTTTGTCGCCTTGAAAAGAACGACCGCAGAAAAATTGGTGAAGGAAATATATTATGTACCGTATATAATTTTCAAGCAGTCATGCAATGCCCTTTAGGAGACTCTAGTTCTTTTTATTATATATCAAAACTCAACTGCCCAAATTTTACTATGGCTGAGCTGGCTCAGAAATCCGACAAGAAAACAAATAAAGAACAGGAAATTGAAGGGAACCAGGGAAGAAGGGGAGAAGATAGAATTGAAGAAGAAACTGTAGGCGCATATGGGGATGTTTATAATTACTTTTGGGATTAAAAACAAGGAACAAGGGGGCAAACGAAATAGGGTCGTGCATATTTGAGTATTTAAAAAATTTTGGTGTATAATATCCTGATAAACCACTGAATATAATTTTCTATTCAGATAATTGCTGTGGGAAAAATAAAAACAGGTTTATTGCATGTCTATACTCGTATATTGTGTCCAACTTTCCAAATATATAATGAGTATAACTCACAAATTTCTTATTCGCGGACACACACAGAACGAGGGTGACAACGTACACAGCCTAATTGAAAAGGAAGTGAAAAAAACCTTAAATCTGGACCAATTTGCCCTGATAAAAACTGCCAAGAAGTCTGGAAAGCCTTTTACGGTCCTGGAATTAAGTTATGACTTTTTCATTGATTTAAAATCCCTAAAAGATCAGTGGGGTTATAATTTTAATGAAGACGATGAGCGCAACCAGGTGTCTTGGAACGATGTAAAGGTTTTAAGATTCTTGAAAGCCGAACCTTTTATGTTTTTTTACAAAACATCTTACACGCAAGATAATTTTAAGCGTGTGAACATGAGAAACAAACTAAAACGTATGCCTAACCGTGACGATGTCTCGATACCGAAAGCATACACAAATAAAATAAAATTAAGCGAAAACAAAAGGAAAGGACTAAGCGAATTGCTGCGGAAAAATTTAATACCCGGTATTTATATTGATTATTATAAATTATTAATAGATTATCAAGATAATTGACTGATGTAGGATAGACAGTTCCTAGTGAACGAAAATTTTGTTTGAATGGTTTCTGTTGATTTTGTTGTCTTTAAATATTCTATTAGATTATTGTAGAACTTACTTTTTGTTGCATAGTTGCTTTGATTTGAGTTTACGTACGTTACTAAAGACACGATTACTAAAGAAAGTTCCTAATGAACAAAGATATTGGTTTATTTTTAAGCGTTGTATGTTATTGATTTATAAAGACGGAAAAATGTTTAAAGATACTAATGGAAAAATATCTCTGTTTATTTATGTCGATTTATCTTTTTTTTATGTCAGATGTGTATTATGTCTTTGGTTTTTTTTCTCCCCCATTGACGCATTTTCCATTTTGGTATCCCATAATTAGTAATTTATTAAGAAAGTAATAGACCTAAGTCGGAATATTTAAAATAATTACATAAAGTTATAAAACAAACAAAAAAGGCGTAACTCTTAAACTGCCACTTATAAGAAATTATTTTCGGCCGAAAAAGACGCATCTCTTAAACCGTCAAAATTGAAACTTTTTTCTCGGTCGAAAAATGACTGATAAAACAAAATACTTTTTTTTTTGTACTATTCCTTTTAATAATTACGTTTGTTCATGACACAATAATAGTTAATTAACCTTTTTATAATTTGTTGCAAAAACATACTTACTGACGTAAATAATCACGAAATAATAGACGAAAGAATGCAGATGTGTCAAAATCTTAAAACTTGTGTTGCTATTATTATATATATACACAAATAACTATAAACAAAATTGACTCAAATTTGTTGGTTGCGGATATATTCGTAGTTTTCTTTTAAAAACGTTTTTAGCAGGTATTATTCGCAGGTCAACAGGCAATTTGTTCCAGAGGGAGATGGAAGTTAATGTGAAAGAATTTGACATAAACCCAGAATGGTGGAGAGGAGTAGACAGTAATAGTCCAAATAGGAGTAGAGTAGTATAATTGTGTGAAGGCCGGAGATTGAGAGAATCAGTGTCACTACGGAATTGGAATCTTTCTTTTAGGTAAAGGGGTGAGGAAGAATCATTAAGAACTAAAAACAGAGAGGACAGCATTTGAAAATCTCTGCGCTGGCGTATAGTCAACCACTTTAATTGGGAGCGAAATTCTGATACGTGATCGTATTTGCGCAGGCCAAAGATGAATCGTATACAGTTGTTAAGTAACCTGTCCAACCTGCTTAGCAGCTCCTGGGAGATATTAGATAGACAAACATCGGCATAGTCAAATAATGGAAGAATTAGAGATTGGATGAGTAGAAGCTTAGTTGAAGGAGGCAGAAAGAACTTAGACGATATATGGAACGAAGTATGCCTGTGACTTTACGACAAATCTGGGACACCTGTAACCTCCAACTAAGGGTAGTGTCAATAATTAAACCCAGATCCTTGACACTAGTGCGGGAAGGAATTACACAGTTTTCGTAGCGAATGGATGGTAGACCAAGGTATGTTAAGTTGTGACACCAATCGACTACTACCAATGATAATAGCCTGGCATTTACTGGAATTTACCGTTATACCAAATCGCTGTGACTAGTCTGAAATGCGTTGTAAGGCCTGATTAATAGCTGCAATAGCAGTAGCAATTTCAACCGAGGACGCTTGTGAGTATAACTGAAGATCGTCAGTATAGAGGTGGTAAGAACATTGAAGGTGGGTAGTTAGAAGATTGATAAACAACGAAAACAAGAGAGGAGAGAGAATGCCGCCTTGCGGTACACCTAGATACAGATCGCACCAGTCGGAAAAATCCTGACCAGCCCGAACAGCTTGCTGGCGACCGCGAAGAGGAAAACCAGTTCAGTACTGACGAGGAGAAGTTTAGGCGTGAAAGTAATCCAAGGAGTAAGTCGCGATCGACACAATTGAATGCGTTTGAAAAGTCAATAAGGACCAGAACAGTCAAACATGACCTCTCCATGCCCTCTCTAAAATCTTCTGTAACTTGAAGTAACGCTGTGGTGGTACTATGTCCCGGGCGGAAGCCAGATTGATATGTACTAAGGTAGTTGCATTTCGAAATTAAAGAAGTGACTTGTTTGTGTACCAATGATTCAAGGGCTTTGGAAAGAAACTGCAGTATAGAAATAGGTCTAAAATGGGAGGGTAGGGATGGATTGGGTACTTTAGCAAGAGGCAATATAAAAGCTTTTAGCCATAACTTGGGGAAAATACAAATAGAGAGGAGAGAAATTGATGATGTGAGTGAGAACTGGAGTAATAATATCGAGTATGAGAAGTATCATAGATCTACTCACCTCATCATACCCGGTTGCGGAACATTTTATTGAAAGTATGGCTTTTCTAGTATCATCGTCAGTCACTGAACTGAAGTCGAAAGAATTACATGATAACAAAGTCATGGAATTAAGTTCCTGGAGAGTCGTAGCTTTGGTGGACAAATGCAGACGTGATGCAGAAGGGAAGTGTATGTTCAAGTCATTGAGTGAAATATATGGAATTAGAGAATTGGAATGTGATTTTCCAAATCCCAGGGATTTAAGGAACTTCCATATATCTGCATAGGAGGAGTCTGAAATACTATTGTGGAAGTAACGGCGTTTGGCTGTTCTTACCAACTGATTACAGCGGTTTCGTGCTCGCTTATATTGTTGAAAGGTGGAACTGTTCCGATTCTTTTTAAAATGTGAAAAGCTCGATCTCTTCTCATTGCTCTACGCACTGCGTCAGTTATCCACGGTGCAGGAGGTCGACGTAACCTAACTGCTCGAACTGGTGCGTGCCTATAGAATAGGTTGAGAATTTGGGTGTTCAAATGAGCAATTTTGTCTTCAATATTATTTGCATCCATCAATGGGCCCTATTCTATATTCTTAGCATCGCGGTGTAGTCGAATGGTGTCAATTTTATTGAAATTGCGTAAATACACAATCAATGGCTTTGGCTCGGGAGGCTTTAATTTATACAACATGACCAAAAGATCGTGTCGAGAAAACGCGGGAACAGCCAGTTGATCATGATATATTACATGATCCGCTGAACTAGTGCAAATGATGTTTAACCATGAACAACAGACTTGTTAGGAAAAGATACGGCTATTCATTTATGAGTTCTTAAAATAGGTCTAGTAATAAATAACGTAAGCATGCCATTTCCCAAATTTAAAGATGTACTTATAGAGATTCCAATAAATGAGTCCATAAGTCTAATTTCTCAATCTTACCTAAGGGTGCCTATGCCTTTAGAAGAAAAGGTAGAGAGGAAACTTAAGGAATTGTTGGAAAGTGACATTATAGAAGAAGTGAAGGGTCCTTCCAAGTGAGTTTCACCGATTGTACCAATTTTAAAAGGGAACGGGGAATTGCGCTTGTGCGTGGACATGAGACGTGCTAATTCCGCCATTGTCAGGGAAAATCACCCCTTACCCTCTATGAATAATTTACTGCCTAAAATGAGAAAAGCTAGGTACTTTAGTTAATTAGATATAAAAAACTCCTTTCATCAAGTGGAAATACATCCGAAATCTCGATACATTACTACTTTTATAACAGCGAAAGGATTATTTTGTTATAAAAGATTATTATTTGGCATCTCTTGCGCACCCGAACTATTTCAGAAAATACTTGAAAAAATGCTAATAAGTTGTAAAGATGTTGTTACTTTTATCGACGATATTTTGTTATTTGGTAGTTACGAGGAAAAGCACAACTCAAGACTATGGAAGTTACTAGAGGTACTAAAGAAAAATAACGTACTTCTTAATGAGGGGAAATGCATATATAAAGCAAACCAAGTAACATTTTGGGACAAGAACTTTCTCCTACAGGTGTAGAAAAATATGTCAAATGCATTATGAGCTTTAGAGTACCAAATATTGATACCATTGATGAGATCCAAAGTTTTTTGGGTCTGACAAACTTTATAAATCAATGGATTCCAAATTTAGCTACATTAACAGATCACTGAAAGGAGCTGTTAAGGAAAAAAATGGGGAAAAATGCATGCATAGCAAAACTTTGACTTAAGGAATGGTAAGCAATTTGTGAGCGACAAGTTTAAATCATTTTGTAAAGAGTGCGGCTTTAAATTTTTAACACCGTTACTATACTAGCCGCCACAAATGAATGGAGAGGTTAATCGAGATATATTAAAACGGCTACGAATAAATCACTATGAAAGAAAAGATATGAACCCACCACGACACCCCTTACGGTGACGGGGAGGACACCATTGGAACTTTTCTTCAAAAGAAAGAATAGAGATAAAGTCCCCTCACTCGACTGGTGCTGCAACAGAACAGATGGCAGGGAAATAAAAGATAGAGACAGAGAACAAAAACAAAAAGGAAAAGAGTATGCTTACAGGAAGCGAAGAGCTACTAATTCAAAAATAGTGGAAGGTGACAAAGTTTACGTAAAAGCAATGGAAAGACCAAATAAATCGACGTCTTATTTCAACCCCATTCCTCATACCGTAAACAGTTCAAAAAATGGTGACTGCGTGGTAACAAACGATGAAAGTGGTCAAAATAAAGGACGAATATAGTACATTTAAAAAAGTAGAAGGCGAATGGAGAAATGTCTCCAACAACGATGAAGAAGAAAGTCAAGAACCAAACATCAGCAGCGGAATGGACCAAGATGTCATTAGTTAAATTTTGATTGGAATTTGATTTGTGATTAGTAGAATTTATAAATTTAAAAATCGTAACAAGAAAGAGATGTAGTGTATGTGATTATAAAATGCTAATAAGTATGTAATAAATTTTGCGGTTTTTTTTTTTTTCTTGTGTTTAGTGGGTAAAAGTCTCCACATAATCACGCAGCCGGCTGCGTGGTATGCTATGAGCATTCACCGCCTCCCTCCTCCGCTTTCCGGAGGGTTGCCCATAATTGCTTTGGGCGCAAAAAAAAGCGCACTGCATCAGTATCACAAGAGCCGCGGGCGAGAGTGGACGTGTAGTGAAACGTGAGTGAGAGTACGTGTGCGTGTGTGAACCAGTGAATTCCTGGCTGTTACAGTGACAATTGTTGGGAGTCCTTTTAAAATGACTTAAACGTAGACCTCAAGGTTGCGCGCACAACCCAAGGTACATTTTACCTTGGTATAGAAAAAAAGTTTATGTACCAATAAAATGAAATGAATGTTACGAAAATGTGATATAATAAATGGGGGGCCCATATTTATAAATTATCCATGTGATAAATATCATGAATAAAATATAAAAAAATGAAATGAATTAATACTCCGATTCTCGTAATCGAATTAATAAATAAATATATAAGTGAATAGAGAGAAATGGAGCTATAACAGTGGTAGAGCCACGCGGCAGCTTTGCTGTCACACGTATGGGCCGGCTCAAACCGGGGTGGTACCACGACCTCACAGAATACCGGCGTGAAGTGGAAGCTCTGCTTCCGCGTTTCGTCTGGTGAGTGCAGGTGGCCGGAGGCCCAAATCCCCCCCCCCCATCAACATGGTAGCGGAATTCAATGATAGACTACCCCAGGAGGGTACCAGCACCCCTGGAGAATCCCTCGCTGAGCATCCACGACCATGTTTTTCCACTTCTGAGCGTGGGTGCTCAGGCTGCCCCGCGTATTCTGGGGGGGGGGGCAAAATTCCGCTCAAGACTAAAACTGCTCGGGGCAAACGGAGCAACAAGACCAAGGCGACTCCTGCCACGCTGTCCGTGAATTTCTGCAATATCAGGGGACTTCACTCCAACCTAAACGCCGTCCACTACCATCTCGAGACGGCGAGGCCGGCTCTGCTCTTTCTGACCGAGACGCAGGTGTCCTCTCCGGCTGATGTCTCGTATCTCTCCTACCCGGGGTACAAACTGGAACACTCCTTTGTGCCTCGGGCTGGAGTTTGCGTTTACGTCAGAGAGGACATCTGTTCTCGACGCCTCGGCAGACTTGAAGGTTCGGACCTGTCCATCCTTTGGCTACGCGTAGACAGCGACGACCATCCGCGCATCTACGGGTGCCTCTATAGGTCCCACAGCGGTAATGCCGAAACAGACCGACTCTTCGACCACGTCCAAATGGCTGCAGATTCGTTGCTACAGCAGATCCCCTCCGCAGAGATCGTGATCCTCGGCGACTTTAACGCCCATCACGCCGAATGGCTCAGTTCACGTTTAACCGATCATGCGGGGAGATCTGTTCATGATTTTGCCTTGTCATATGGTCTGACACAACTGGTTACTTCGCCTACGCGGATTCCAGATGTGGAGGATCATGCACCTTCCCTGTTGGACCTTCTGCTGACCTCTCACCCGGACGGATATCAGATTTCCGTCGACGCCCCTTTAGGCTCCTCGGACCATTGTCTTGTCCGGAGTGTGGTGCCACTCACGCTGAAATCGCGGTTGCATTCTGCAGGCTGCCGCCGTGTTTGGCACTATAGGTCAGCCGATTGGGATGGGATGCGGTCTTTCTTTGCATCCTACCCTTGGGGGCGGGTTTGCTTCTCGCCGGACGATCCCAACGTTGTTGCGAATTCTGTCGCTGATGTGGTACTTCAGGGTATGGAACTTTTTATTCCTTCCTCTGTGGTGCCCATTGGAGGCAAATCTCAGCCATGGTTTGGTCGCTCCTGTAAAATAGCATCATGCTATAAGCAGGAGTGCTACCAGGCCTGGGCTGACGCATCAGCGTCCAGGGATGTAAACACCAGCGCTCTAAAAAAGAAGTATAATTCCGCCTCTAGGTCCTTCAAAAGAGTCATTGCCAAGGCAAAGTCAGAGCACATAGGCAGAATTGGCGAGAAACTAGTTCGTCTTCCTTCTGGAACCCGTACATTCTGGTCTCTCGCCAAGGCTGTCCAGGGGAATTTCTGTCAGCCATCTCTTCCATCTCTGCACAGGGAGGACGACTCACTGGCCCACACCGCAAAGGAGAAAGCCGATCTTCTAGGCTCTTTCTTTGCGTCTAACTCGACTCTCGATGACGGGGGGAGTACGCCGCCGACCATCCCGCGGTGTGAGTGCTCCATGCCGGAAGTGCAGTTCACTCAGCGCTCGGTTCGCAAAGCACTCCTCTCCCTGGACATCCACAAGTCGAGTGGGCCTGACGGAATCCCCCCAATTGTGCTGAGGACGTGTGCTCCAGAGTTGGCACCGGTTTTAACGCGTTTTTTCCGGTACTCCTACTCCCTAGGCGTAGTCCCAAAATCATGGAAGACGGCTTTCGTCCACCCGATCCCTAAAAAAGGCGACCGCTCAGACCCGTCCAACTACCGGCCAATCGCCATCACCTCCTTGTTCTCCAAAACAATGGAGTCCATTGTAAACTGCCAGCTCATGAGGTACCTTGAGGATCACCAGCTGATTAGTGACCGCCAATACGGTTTTCGCCGTGGTAGGTCAGCTGGTGATCTTCTGGTCTACCTAACTCACAGATGGGCGGAGGCAGTAGAGTCCAAGGGGGAGGCATTGGCCGTTAGTTTGGACATTGCGAAGGCCTTCGATCGGGTTTGGCACAAAGCGCTTCTTTCGAAGCTCCCTTCCTATGGGCTTACCGAGAAATTGTGCGATTGGATCACCAGTTTTCTTGCAGATCGGAGCATCAAGGTCGTTGTAGACGGTGCAAGCTCCGATTGCAAGCCTATTAATGCTGGTGTTCCACAGGGCTGCGTGCTATCGCCAACGCTGTTTCTTCTGCATATCAATGATATGTTGCAGACCCGTAACATTCATTGCTATGCAGATGGCAGCACTGGTGATGCTCTTTACACCGGCCGAGCCAATATTTCGCGGGAAAACGTCTCCGAGTGCCGGGACAAACTTGTGTCTGAAGTCGAGTCTCTGCTGGACAGAGTCTCGGATTGGGGGCGACTAAATCTAGTCCAGTTTAACCCCCAGAAGACACAAGTTTGCGCGTTAACCGCTAAAAAGAACCCCTTTGTCGTATCCCCTCAGTTTCAAGGCACTCCCCTTGTTGCCTCAGCCAGTATCGGAATCCTCGGCGTCGACATATCGAGTGACGTGCAGTTTCGTGGTCACTTGGAAGGGAAGGCCAAATTGGCCTCTAAAAAGCTTGGCGTGCTCAGCAGAGCGGGACAGTATTTCATGCCGGCACACCGCCTGCAACTTTACAAGGCGCAGGTTCGGCCACACATGGAATACTGTTCCCATCTCTGGGCTGGGGCTCCCCAGTACCAGCTCCTTCCACTTGACCACATCCAGCGCAGAGCGGCTCGAATCGTCGACGACCGAGTGCTTTCCGATCGGCTCGATTCTCTGGCACTGCGAAGAGATGTTGCATCCCTTTGCATTTTCTTTCGCATATACCATGGAGAGTGCTCTGAGGAATTGTTCGGATTAATCCCAGCCGCCAAATTTCGTGAACGCACTACGCGGCAAACGTCCCGATACCATCCACACCATCTGGATGCTTGGCGGTCCACCACTGTACGTTTCAAAAGGAGTTTTCTTCCGCGTACAACCTCTCTGTGGAATAATTTACCACCAGCGATTTTTCCGGACCGATACGACCTGGGGACCTTCAAGAAAAGAGCTTACTCCTTTCTAAAGGGCCGGCAACGCGTCTGCAATTCCCCCTGGTGTTGCAGTTGATCATGGGCGGCGGTAGTCACTTAACATCAGGTGAGCCACATGCTCGTTTGCCCCCTCTTCTATAAAAAAAAAAAAAAAATGGAGCTAGCTCAATGTCAAATTATTAAGAAGAAAGAAAAAGTACGCACAAGAATGACTGAAAAAAAAAGGCTTAATAATCGACAAAAATATAAGATAATAAGGGGATCACCGACTAAATCCAAAAGTATGATAAATGTATATGATCATCTAAAAGGGAGATAGGTAGTTATTTTGGATTTCAAAAACTAGGTTTTAAAGTTGAAAAAAACAGGACTATTCAGTTTAAAAACAGGACGGTTGGCAACCCTAGATTTACACAACTACACAAAAATGTGTTGTGTGTGTACATATTGTGCGCGTAATTATTTTACCACATTTTATATGAATTTACGAGATTTTTTTCATATTTAAACTCATTAATTCATATTTACTCTACTTAAATTTCTTTTTTTGTCATAACAGACCAGACAGTTTGTAACAGTACTTCGACAGCAGGTTCAAGAGTTATGGAAAAACCATATAAAAACGTAGTGAATTTGGACATAGTGATAAATGAAATTCAGGAAAGGAAAAATCGTAGTCTTAATCTTATTGTGTTTGGAATACCTGAATCTACAGAAAATTCACCAGAAGACGGAAAAAGTCTTCATAAAGACCAGCTTTCTAAAACTATTACGTCACTGGCAACTCCAGAACCGGAAATTCTCACTGTCATCCGTTTGAGTAAACCTGTATCGAAAATTGAAAAGCCGCGTCCAATCGAGGTAGTCCTGGCCAATAAATATAATGCTATAAATGTTCTGAAAAATAAAGGTAAGCTGCCAAACTCTGTTAAGGTAAAGGCTGACATGACACCATATCAAAGAGATCAACTTAGGAGACTTCGTGAAGAACTAGCGGCTAGAACAAAAAAGGTGAGCAAAATCTTACGATCAAATATATCGATAATATACCAAAGATTATAATAACTACAAATACTAGCACATCATAATATCACAGAACTCCGCATACTATACACGAATTCGGCTTCCATTATAACAAAATTTGATTTATTTCTTCTTGAAGTTAATACACATAAACCTGCTTTTATTTTGATATCAGAAACTCATTTACATTCTAGAATTGATGACAGCATTATTAATATAAACGGATATATCCTCTTCCGGTTGGACAGAAGAGAAATAAAAGGGGGAGGAGTAGCAATGTATGTTGCACATGACGTTAACAATGTACCTGTTATATCAAAAGTGAATAAAATATATTATAATTCTTTGATTGAGGCATTATGGTTAGATATACGCTATGGATATTTAGATTTACTTTTAGCTTGTGTGTATCGTCCTCCCTCAAATGTTTTAACAAGTGCTGATGAAATATTATTTAACACCATAGAAAAGGTAGCCTCAAAGCAGACAGTGATTATTGCAGGTGATTTCAACTTACCAAATATAAAATGTCCTCTCGATAATTTAACCAGACATGACAAGCTATGCGAAAGCTTTGTAGCAATGTATTCAAACAAAAATCTCAATCAGCTTGTAACACGAATCACAAGGAAACGTAATAATGCAGAATCCCTACTAGACCTTATACTGTGTAATGATAAAACTTTAATAACTGATATTAAGTAATTTCCGCCCATTGGAAAGAGTGATCATTTTGTCATACTGGCTTCTATGCAGATAATTAATAACGATAATAAAGTATAAAAAAAAAAAAAAAAAAAAAAAAAAAAAAAAAAAAAAAAATTAAAAAGAAAAATAAGGATAGTTTTTTTTTTATAAAAAGAAAAAAAAAAGTTTTTTAATTTTTTTTTTTTTTTTTTTTTTTTTTTTTTTTTTTTTTTTTTTTTTTTTTTTTTTTTTTTTTTTTTATAAATATGTTTATAAAAAGTGTGGGGAACAATAAATGTTGTGTTTTTTTTTTTAAGTTTTGGTGGTTATATTAAATTTGGGGGTTTGTGGGTTTTTTGGGGTTGTTTAGTTTAACGGGGGTTGGGGGGGGGGGGGGGTTTGTTTTTTTTTTTTTTTTTTTTTTTTTTTTTTGGATAAAAAGGCAGGCCCCTTCCTTTTTTTTTTTTAAAAAAAAAAATATTTTTTAAAAACAATCACGGGAAAAAAAAATATAAAAATTTTTTTTTGTTGGGGTTGGTTTGGTTTTTGAGGGAAGGATACACAAAAATATATTTTATTTGTGTTTTTTTTTTTTTTTTTGAAAAAATTTAAAAAGGGGGGAATATTTAACAAGATACCGAACGTACTTAAGACCTCTTTTGGAGTTTGCATATGTGATATGGGACCCGTATTTTCGTAAAGATATACTACTAGAAAATGTTCAAAGGAGGGCCACAAAAATGGTAAAACAACTGCGGAACATGACATATGAGCAGCGAATGAGAAAGCTTAACCTCACAACATTAGAGAGCCGTAGGCAGACCCGAATCCCCGAATACCCGAATCTTACTCCCAGGGGTCCTCAAGACCGCATGGTGAGTGAGGAAGTAGTGCTCCTGTGACCACCAGTCGAAGTGGGACGGTGACATGTGACCCAGCTCTTGATACTCGCGCATGAAATCGATATATTTGTCACGACAGGCTGGGTCGCGCCGCATACGGCGCTCTATAGAAAGCAACCTCTTTTCGGCCAGGGTACGAGATTGGCCCCAATTGGCCCGTGAGTCAAAACAGAGTAAGCGAGTGACAAAACGACCGTCGACACGACGGCCGGTATTGTTCTGGTAGAACAACTCGCACTCACGGTCCAGAGGGTTGACTCGAGGCGTGTGTGGTGGCTCCTCAATTTCCCAGAACCGCTGGACGACGTCCGAAAGACACGCCTACTACAGAGAGCGGGTCGGCCGTCTGAGAAGGTGGAGACCACAGAACCGGTCCAAAGAAACTGTGCCCAAATACAGTGGACATGGCTGACAAGCCATCGGGCTGTAGGGCTCGTAACTCGCCTAACAGGATGAACCCCAGCACGTCGGCCCCCAGCAACAAATCTATAGGCCCAGGTTGGGACCATTGAGGGTCTGCCCGTCTCAAACCCGACGCACAACGAACCGCGCTGTCATTTATACGGACGTTAGGGAAAAAACCTACAATGTCATCGAGGACATTTACTTTAACTAGAATATGAAGGTGTTCGCTGTCAGGACCAAACACCAACTTCGCTTTTCCCCTGAGAGCAGGAGGCTCAGCACCTCCGATACCTACCATTGGACGTGATTCATAGCTCCAGGGGAGCCCTAGTCTTCCCACCAACCAAGTGGAGGCCACACAGCTTGTGAACCTGAATCCAATAGAGCGCGAACCGTTAAACAGTCTCCACTCGGGTTGTACACCTTTACTGAGGCCGTCGGCAATAGAACAGTTTGAAAAGTGGACTGTTGACGGCTCAAAAGATCAGTGAAGGCGGCCGTGGTGGGAGCTAGGCCGGCAACTACCTAGCTGGAGCTGCTTCCATCGGACCGGCACTCGAACTGGGGGGTCCCGAAAACGGCATTCCGGCGGCATCTTACTGACCCGTGGTTGGAAATCACCGAACGGGCCGACCTGGGGAGCTTCGAGGAACCTCGGCCTTTCGGCCCGGAACAAATTCGAGGTCGCAGGAACCCCGTAGTACCGGTACCGACCAAAGGGGGAAGGGTGGTACTCCAGTCGCGGCCTCTCAGCCAACGGGGATGAGAAGGATCTCGCTGACCGCTGAGTGGCCGTAAAGTTTCCTCTCACCACGCTGAGGGGAGGTGACGAACCCCACGACCCCTGGGGAGCGAACCGCCACTGGTCGGGGGAGGGACCCCCCCACTGGTCGGGGGATGGACCCCCTTCAAAACCAGGGGCACGGTGGCCAGCAGGGGAGCGGCGAAAGTTGCTCGACAGAGGGCGTGGCTGAGCGCCCCCGCCCGTGGGGGTTGAGGGCTCGGCAGAGCCCCGAGAGGAAGCGTTATTCGCACCCAGGCACAAAACGGCATGGTGATTGCCCTGGCAGTGCGGACAGGGCCGCTGGTGCGGGCAGTCTCATTGGAGATGCCTTTCCAAACACGAGTAGCACTACAGGCCACCAAGACTGGATTTACGATGTCCGGACGTAGTCTGGCCCGGTTCTTAAGCAGCGGGAGGTTTAGCAGCAGTTGGCGTACCTACCGGCAAGGAGGTCCCGATCGGTCTGGTAGGAGTCATCCGACAATTTCAGATGGCCGACGACGCCCAGGGCCTCCCCCTCAAGTGAGGCCAGGAGGTAAGCCATCTTCTGGCTTAGTGTCAAGTCAAAAAAGCCAACAAAGGTCAGCCAGTCGGAGAGGACCCCGGAGAACCTTGGCAGGTCCAGAGTTGGGAGTCGTCCCAACAACTCCAGCTGAGTAGGCTGCTTCCGAGAGGACTCAAGCAGGCCACTCAGCCGAGCTTCACGCGCGTCACTAGCATACTTGACCCCCGCCTCGATCAAGTCGTCCGTGAGCGAAAAAAATTGCTCGTATGCCGCGAGGCAGGAGTCTAGGACTCCCTGTTCCGCTCCCGAGGCCAAAAGCTCAGTGCAAGCCTCCTCCACCACGGCCCTTCGGGCCATGACCTGCTCGAACCGCTTCTCTAAGCTACGGACCCGATCGGTTATCAAGGTGTGGGCGTTCGCGGCCCAGCGCAGCTCCACCTGCAAGCGAAGCGCCGGTGGCTTGTGCGATGGCATCACTATTAAATACAAATACTACTAAATTAAATTAAACACAATTACACTACACGGCAAGTACACACTACAGTCGGTCAACAAGATGCCCCGCTGAGGCGACCGACCCTTCGGCAATTTAGTCTACAATACAAATACAAATACTAAATACAAATACCTGACGCGTAGGTACCTGACCCTAAACTACACTCCGTTTGCGCAGCCTAACGGCAGTGTGCGTGTGTGTGTGTGTGTGTGCGTGTGTGCGTGTGCGTGCGCGTGTGGGCGTGCGGGCGTGCGGGCGTGCGGGCGTGCGGGCGTGCGGGCGTGGGGGTGTGGGTGTGTGTGGGTGTGTGGGGGGTATGTGGGGGTGTGGGTGTGTGTGGGTGTGTGGGTGTGTGTGTGTGCTTCGGTTCAAACTGCTCCACAAGGCGCTCACCGCTATCTGAACTCAAGTCTAGCGTCACTTAGCACAAACTATAATCTAAGATAACGCGATCTCCGGATCACAAAGTTTAACGTTCCACACGAAAGCAAAATTCCTTCGTACACTTTAACTAATTTATTTTAACTTTAATTAACTATACAAGCCACTCGTCGACGCAAATTAATAGCAATCGAAGTTAAAATAGTCAATCAAAACTCAAAAAAGCCTCGTTGTCGCGTATATTAACCTTTTGAGCGCCAAAGTCGTCTATACGTGACCAGTACCCGCGTGCCCTGAGCGCCAACGACGTCTATAGATGACAAAAAAACCCGGCCCACAATAATATGAAATATAGACATTGGAAAATTATTACTGGTATTTTAATTCTACACCCCTCAAAAAAGAATAACCCAGCAACATGTGAGTATAAAAAACAAGTCTTCTAGAGCCACAAGTACTAAGAAACATTGAACTAAAAAAAAATGGATTTTTATCTAAGCAAATACTATGTCCAGCACGCCAAAGTCGTCTATGTTAGACCGCTAGTGTTGTAATGCGTTAGCCATAAATTTATTGAAAACTATTCAAAATTAAGCTCAAACGTGTTATTTTTTTCTATTATTATTGATATTTAAATAAAACAAAAGGTTAGAAATATAAAACTATAATTAGCTACATGAATTAAAAAAAAATAACAAATTATCTTCGCATAATAAATCTAATATCTCAACTCTGGCGCATCCTTAGCGCGACATCGAAAATCAGTTCACAGGACACCGAGGTCAAGTATAGACGACACACTGATGACGTCATAAGCGATTAGCGGGAAAATTAGTGCAGTGCAACATGAACGATTCCTCAGAACTCATTCGGATTTTG